ATACTATATATATTTATATATTATATATATCTGTTTTATTATATTTTGTTTTCCCTCTATGTCGTATTTTTATCGAAAGCCGTCTTCTGGCTTCTCGTTTTCGCTTGTTTCTCATATCATTTTTCTCTTTTCTTCTCGCTGTTTTTGCTTGCATGAAATCTATTTTTTTCGAAATGCCTTTAATTACAGTTTTTACTTACAAGTATATTCAGCAACTTACCCAAAACGTCTGTTATGCTTGACAGATCGCAATAACATCTGTGTGGTGTGTGTTGTGTGATGCATGTGTGCTCAATGTGTGTAGTGCTGATGTGTGTCGTGGTTGTGGGTGTGTGTGCGTGTGTGGTGTGTGTGCTGTTGTGTTGTGTGTGTGCTGTGTGTTGTTGTGTGTGTGTGTTGTGTGTGTGTGTGGTGTGTGGTGTGTGTGTGTGTGCGTGTGTGTGGGAGATATGTGTGTGGCATGTAGCTCGTGTGTGTGTTGTGTGTGTGTGTGTGTGTGTGGTGTGTGAACAACACGTTGTGTCGTGAGTTCGTGGTAGATGCATGTGCTGTGTGTGTATTTGTATTCACGGAAGAAAAAACATTTCATGGATTACAAATAAATTGCTTTGTTGAAGTATTTTAGCAAGCGATCATCCTACGAAGACGTGTTCATTCCCTTTCAACGTGCACAGATATTTATCGTTTGTTTTATCGTTCACTGAATCGTGTTCATCGTGGCGATTGTAGGAAAAAGTATGAATAAGATTGAATAAAGCTCTTACTCTATAAAAAAAAATATTTATTCTCATTCATACCTTTCAGCTCTTTATAAAAAAAAAAAAAATTCTTTTGTATTTCATCACAGACTAAAAATCTAAAAATATATGCATTGTCTCTCGGTAAATTCACTATTAAAAGCTGTATGACACTCACTCGCTATACTGACCAAGCAAAACTTTAGTCCAACATAAACTCAATAACTTTATAATATTTTTTTTTTACACGAAGTCCGGGACACACAATGAGTTGCTTAGAATAGTAAGACCTAACTTTGATTTTTTTTTCTTTTTTTTTAAGGTAGTGCGATAAGTGTAAAGCATACATACGTGGTTGTTATCTGCTTGCTTGTTTGTGTTGTTGTGTTGTTGTTGTTGTGGTCGTTGGTTGCTTGTTGTTGTATGCTGTTGTTCGTTGTTGCTGTTTGTTGTAGTTATCTAGTTGTTGTTCGCTGTTGTTGTTGTTTGCTGTTGTGTCGTGTTGTTGGCTGGTTGTTTAGCTGTTCGTGTATCTGATCATAAGTGAACATTAAATGGACCATGTGACTGCCGTTGGTTTTCATCATAAAACTGAGATAGTGACGATCAAAAATAGTGAAATTGGACCTTGAGTGGACTTTTGTTTTGTTGTCCCGGTCTGTTTTTCTTCTTATTTTTTACTTTGTTTAGGTCATCGGATTATTAAATTTGATTTTCGTTCTGCGTCCACCAGCTGCCGATACTGTCTGTGTGACCGTTGCAGTGCGCTTCTGCTTCTTTTTAAAATTGGATCACTTATATGTAAAAGTATTGTTTCTGACTTTGAAGAATTTATCTGCCAACACACGTATACCATTTAAACTTCCTTCTCTTCATCTCTCTCTCTCTCTCCCCTCTCTCTCTACTCTCTCTCTGTATTATATTAAAATATATATATATAAGTTATTATATGTATATATATTATAGTATATATTATTATGTGTAGTGATGTTGTGTGTGTGTGTGTGTATGGGTGTGTGCTGTGTGTGTCGTGGTGTGTGTTGTCGTGGTGTGTGGTGTGTATACAAATATTTTTTGTTCAGCCATATTAAATATATATAATATCCCAAGTCACTGCTTCCGTTTCAACGTGACCGGTCGCCGCGTCCAATCCCGTTTCTCTCTTTCCGTTCCAGCCGCCATGCAGATTCTCCTCCCGTGCTTCCTCTCCCTGACGGCGGCGCTGTGGGCGGGGCCTCTGACCGCCACACGCCTCCTCCGCGCCGCCTCGGACGCCCACGATTTGATTGTCATTCTCCTGGATGGGTGAGGGCTATCTGGCTGTTCGTTTTGTCCTATTGTAGATACATGCGCATATGGATATACATGCATGGGCACATACACGCGAGACACGCACACGCACACGTGCAACTCTCTCTCATCCCTCAACACACAAACACTCACAAAACATAAACACATACAAACACGTTACACTTCTGCTGATTGATCTTTCTTTATATGATTTAATATTTTTCATATCTACATCGCTCTCTCTCGCTATCTATCTAGCTAGCTAGCTATTTACATCTACCTATCTAATCTTGTTTATCTATCTTATCTATCTACTATTACATCTATATCTATATCTATCTATCTACCTATCTATTCTATCTATTCTATATGTATATATATGCATATATAATATATATAAATATATATATATATATTATATATATAATATATATATAATATACACACAAGCATATACATATATACACACGTGTGCTTGTGAGGAGAGGGTGCCAGTACCATGTTTGTAAACCCTTACACATGAACGCGTTTTAAATAAAACCCGCAAACACAACAGGCTTTTCCATCATCTGCAAGTGACAATGGCGTTTCCCATTCGCCATTTTCACGCAGCCTCTCCCTCCGTTGCAGGTTCAGATGGGACTACCTCGACATCCACAAGCGAGGCGGTTTTCCCGGCTTCGATAAATTTCTGGACGACGGCGTGCGGGCGGAATATCTGAACCCAACCTACCCGCCGAATTCCTTCCCAAATTGGCACACTATTGTTACAGGTTAGCGAGAATTGGAATAAATGCAAGCCGGACTTATCCGCTGTGGTGTTGGATGGCTTCTGTCTGTTTGGATGCGGACGAATTTATGGTAATACTGTTTTGGTTAATGGAATTCCGGTGTTTCATTCGGAGCGCGCGTTTCGAAGCATGGAGGATTCACGTGTGGAGTTATTCGGCCCGGTTTGTTAGAATTTGCGAGGCCCGACCCAATGAATTTTCTGTCCTAAATGTATCTGTCTCTATATCTGATATATATACCGTTAACTATCATTTTGCCCGGCTGATATGCATGTCTAGACTAATAGGTATGCATTTATTTCTTTAGTTATGCGTTTACGAATATTCTTTGGGTCGGGCCTCGCACAATTTTAACAAACCGGTCGATATTCTTTGATACTTATTTATTTGTCATTTCAGTAATATAAGTAAATGAAGGAATACGTGGCAATAAATGGATGAATTAAACTACAGATCACCGGATGCTGTATGGGAATGTGATAATTGTAGAAAAGGTATGAATGAAAATTAATATCTTCACAATGCAAGAGATGTGTTTGACCGGTTTCGATTATTTCTTCGTCAAAAATACATTTATAAACGAAGATATAATCGAAACCGGTCAAAAACATGTCTTTTATTGTGAAAATATTAATTCTCATTCATATCTTCCCTACATTTGTCGCAATCAATGAATGTGATAATACTAAAACCATCTTATGGAATATCTATAACTGTCATTTACCATTTTCAACGTGACAAAATGTTGGAAAATATACAGTTAACTTATTAACATTACACATTCATCAGAATAACTTATTAACATTACACATTCATCAGAAAATAAGAAATATCGAAGCAAATATAAATCCATCATCATGGAATTATCCAATTTCATTTTACATCTCCCCCACCTGATAATACTAATCCTATTTCCATTGCCCACTCCCTCACCCTCCCCACACCAGGCTTATACCCGGAAAGCCATGGAATCGTCGGTAATTTTATGTACGACGAAGAGCGAAATGCTTCGTTTAACCTGAACCATCTGGAGACGACCTCCGACCCCCTCTGGTGGCAAGATTCCGAACCACTCTGGATCACGACGACGAAGTCTGGCTTAGACACGGCGCTTTTCCTGTGGTCGAGGTAGGTTGTGGTCTCTCTCTTGGTCTTTGATATGTCTTTCTCTGTCTGTCTGTCTGTCTTTTTCTTTCCTTCTCTTTCTCTTTCTCTCTGTCTGTCTCTGTCTCCCTCTCCCTCTCTCTCTCTCTCTCTCTCTCTCTCTCTTCTCTCTCTCTCTCTCTCTCTCCTCTCTCTCTCTCTCTCTCTCTCTCTCTCTCTCTCTCTCTCTCTCTCTCTCTCTCTCTCTCTCTCTCTCTCTCTCTCTCTCTCTCTCTCTCTCTCTCTCTCTCTCTCTCTCTCTCTCTCTCTCTCTCTCCTCTCTCTCTCTCTCTCTCTCTCTCTCTCTCTCTCTCTCTCTCTCGCTCTCTCTCTCTCTCTCTCTCTCTCTCTCTCTCTCTCTCTCTCTCTCTCTCTCTCTCTCTCTCCTCTCTCTCTCTCTCTCTCTCTCTCTCTCTCCCCTCCCCCTCCCCTCCCTCCCTCCCTCCTCCCTCCTCCTTCCTTCCCTCCTTCCTTCCCTCCCTCCCTTCCCTCCCTCCTTCCCTCCCTCCTTCCCTCCCTCCTTCCCTCCCTCTCCTTCCATCCCTCTTCCTCTGTTTCTACGTACTGTAATGATAAAATACAAGATGATATTCATAATAACACGACTAATGAAATAAAAAAAATGACCCAAATGATGACGCACAGCTGTTTAACACGCTAGAACATTTGCAAAATAGCTACGAATGTCATTATGAATTATAGTGGTAGAGTTATCTATTATCATTAGAGCTGTCAGTTTCATTTGTGGGTAAAATATATTGATGAATTTGACGAAAATGGGTAAAATATATTCATGAATGTAACGGATATGGTTTGTAACGGTTATCCATCGTAATCATAGTTTGTAGTGTTAAATGAAGGTTAGGTTATGCAATTGATGTTTATAGCTGTGATATTATAATGATTACAAATATCTCTTTAGTTTGTTGCATATCAGGTAACGCAGACACACTACAAAACTTTAATTAGTCAACCTGAACATTTATTCAGAATTGACAATTTTTTTTGTTCAATTATTATTATCTCTTTCTTTTAATCTTCCCCTCCAACTGAATTTCTCTTCGCTTCCCTTTTCTTTCTCCTCCAGTTCTCCCTTCGCCTCCCTTCCCCCTTCCCCTCTCACCTGTATTTACCAAACCCAGGTGCGACGTGCCTTGGGAAGGGAAAATCCTGCCCAAGTACTGCGTTCCCTTCGAGGAAACGCCCCCCAACACCCAGCTCTTCGTCAAGAACCTGAACCAGGCCGTCGACATGATACAGAACGAGGGATACAAGCTGGCCATGGTACCCGAGGCGTCTGTTGTTGGGGTTCGAGGGAGTGGAGATGGGAGGGGTGGGTTAGAGGAGTGAGGGGAGGGGGAGGAGGAGGGGGATTTGTGTGTGTGTGTGTCATTATGTGTGCATGTGCGTGCCTCTATGCGTGCCGTGCGCTTGCTCCTTATGCGTGCATGTGCGTGTCTTCATGCATGTCCGTGTGCATGTATGCTGCATGTGCGTCCTCCATGCGTGCATATCCGTGTCTGTATGCGCCTGCGTGTTCCCCACCAACGGATAGTCTAAACATTACCAAAACCCATTAGCATCCATCCAAATAGACGTCCCCACCAAACCCCCAAAATAGACCTATTAAACCAAGCCACCCCAACGCCACACTGATAGGCTGCCATGTCCTTGTCTTTAGGTCTACGAGGAGGTGATCGACACGCAAGGTCACGCTTACGGCCCCACGTCTCCTGAGGTCACCGTGGCCCTCCGAGACGTTGACCTCGCTCTGCAGGGCCTGTGGGAGGATCTGGCGGCGAGGGACATGCTCAACACGGTAAAAAATAATAAATAAATAAATAAAAATCGTTGTGATGTGTGTAATCTTGCAAATGAGGGTCAAGAGATTCATGATATGATTTCTCTTTCTCCTTCTCTCTCCTCCTCTCTCTCTCTCTCTCTCTCTCTCTCTCTCTCTCTCTCTCTCTCTCTCTCTCTCTCTCTCTCTCTCTCTCTCTCTCTCTCACTCTCTCTCTCACTCTCTCTCTCCCTCTCTCTCTCTCCCCTTCTCCTATCTCCATCTCATTCTGTCTCCCTCTCCCTCTCCCTCCCCCTCCCTCCCTCCCTCCCTCCCTCCCTCCCCCCTCCCTCCCTCCTCCCTTCCCTCCCTTCCCTCCCTCCCTCCCTCCCTCCCTCCCTCTCTCTCTCTCCGCTATCCAATTTACGTTTTGCGACTGGCATCTCGACAAGGGAAGCGCGTCCAAAGGGGATCTTAGACAATATTATTAAACGCTTTGTCAATTCAAATATACAGATTATTAATTTAACATGTTTAATTAACATGGGCATCAACATCTACACGTCAATGCACTTTATTTTATGACTGTTGGGCACTAATGTGAAAATGTCGATGTGACTTAGGTAAAATCGACGACTATTCCATCAAAGCAATTGGTCTGAAAACACACCTTTGCGCGCCTTTGTCCTTCCACGGCGGAACTCTTCATCCTTATCCATGCCAAATAAGCAGTCAAAATGTTATTGGTGTATGCGGTTATCTTCTTTCTATATTTTACACAAAGGGTCACTTTATTTTTTTCCTGATTTTGACAAAAAAAGCTGCCCCTCACCCCTGCTTCCTCGTAAAACCTCCGCCTAATAATTTATGTTTTTTCGCACTGGTTAGTTAGTTTGTTTGTTTACAAGTTAACTAAAAAATATATATATGAATTAGTTAGTTTGTTTGTTAACGTTAACTCAAAAATTATGAATAGATTCTTATGATTATTTTCTACCAGATTCCATTAAATTTTGGTTATGATCCGGGTCCAGGATTTTTTTTAAATAATAAAATCTTTACCCCTGTTGCCCTGCCTCCCCCAAGTCGGTTACGTTTACGGACGTCACCTGTGTACTTGAGACAGGTGATTTTAATGTAATCAAGTGTGCATATTTTTTATTGACTCAGTGACCTTATTGCCTTGGCGGAGGTATGCGCTTTCTGAGTGCTTCTAGTTTTTTGTTGTGTGTTTTTTTCCTCAGATCTAAGAAGCCTTTCATTTTCGTAATCATCCCCCCCTTCTCTTCCTCTTTATTACATATCTTCCTTTCTTCGCCTATTTATCTGCAATGAAAGGTAACGAAACGAAACAACAAAATTCAATTAATAAACAAGTAAATACACATGAACAGATAAATAAATAGAAAAAATAAACACATTAATTAACTGATTAATTAATCAATTCAATATAGAAAATACCATAATATAATTAACTAATAAATAAATATATAAATAAATAAACACATGAATAAATAAATAAATAAACACATCAATGAATTATATAAAAAATTAATCAAATATATATTATATAATATGCCAAACTAGAAGCACCCAGAGAGCGCATACCTCCGCCAAGGCAATAAGGTCACTGATGCAATAAAAATATTCACACTTGAAGAATTACATTTAAAATCACCTCTGTCTCAATTACACTGGTGACGTCCGTGTGTCCCAATCTCGCAATACTAATGTATCCTTTTAAAAATTCCTAATCCGGACCATGATCCGGATCACCACCAAATCAAATGGCATCTAAGTTGGGAAGACACATCGTTGGTAAAATTCTCATAAAAATCTGTCTATAACTCTTTGAGTTATCCTGCTAACCAACGAACAAACTAACCAACGCTACCTAAAACATAACCCCTTAATTAACATTAATTCAGAATTGACAATCTTTTTTTCATCATAATTCTCTCTTTCTTTTAATCTTCCCCTCCAAATGAAATTCTCTTCGCTTCCCTTTTCTTTCTCCTCCATTTCTCCCTTCGCCTCCCTTCCCCCTTCCTTTCTTGGCGGAGGGAATAATACAACAAATAAATACATAAATATAAAACAGTCCGTATCCCTCCCTCCACCGCAGACGAACGTGGTGGTGCTGAGCGACCACGGGATGACGGACGCGGGACCGAAGGACAAAATGCGGCTGGATCTCGCGCCCTGCCTGGACTACGCGCAGGTTGTGAAGACCACAGAGCACGCGGGCTACATCAACATCCTCCCTGCTAAAGGCTACGTAGAGCAGGTAATGTGGGATACTTTGTTTTAAACGCTTACCTGAGATACTGTTGGAGTCATTCATGAAGTGAAAGTGAAGGCGATTTCAGTTAGTTTTCAGTTATATTAGTTATCGTAAAAAAAAAACGTGTACATGCCCATGCAGTATACTCAAACGTTTCAACAGGTGGAGGAGTCGCTGAAAAGCTGCCCGGACGTTTCTGATAATGTTGAAGTGGTGATGAAGGAGAACATGAAAGAACGTTACCACTACAAGGACCACAGACTCATCCACGAGATCATTGTATTGCCGAAGCCAGGTAGGTTTCGCCTCTGAGCTTGGGTGGCCACATGATTGATATTTGTAATTATAATCATGATAAGTATGATGTAATTATGTGTAACATTATTGTTATTATAAGATTACGACGATGAGTTTTTTTTTTAATATATATGAAAAATATATATTAATTAATGATGCGCCTTATAAATACCACATGTTATTGTTATCGATCTTGTAACCATCGTCATTTTAGCCGAACCTATTTTAGACGATCATAAATCAACCAACACGAACGTAAACCTAACCTAACCCAATCCAACCCACCCTTCCTCCCAGGCTTTTACATAAAATCCCCGGAGACGAACTACTCCCTGCCAGAGCGCGAGGGAACATCCGTGGGACAACACGGCTTCGACCACACCCTCGACCAGACGCCAGACATGCGGGGAATCCTGTTCGCTTGGGGCCCGTGTAAGTCCACGTGGATTTCGGAGCGTTAGGGAGAAGGTGGATGCGTCAGTAAGATAAAACTAGGGGGGTGGGGCAGAGGATGGAGGAAGGGGCTTACAGATTATTCTTGATCTCATAATGACCTCTTAAATTAACTGATTTATGCAAAGGCCTCTCCTTATTCACTGATTAACGAATAAACTCTCTGTATGTAACTAATTACTTAATGACCCCTTCTTATCCAATGAAGATAAATGACCTCTTCTTATTCAACTGATTCCCTAACGACCTCTCGTTATTGACACGGTTTCTTCGTCTCATGCAAATAATGACCAAATGACCTCTCCTTACAGCCTTCGTCTCAGGCCACAAATCCGGGGTCGTCGAACAAGTGGACGTATATGGCCTGCTGTGCCGCGCCCTTCAGCTGTCGTGCCACGCCTACAATGGCACAATGGAACACGTGGAGGACTTCTTCGACACGGGTTCCTCCTCCGGTGCCCCGTTCTCATCCCATCCCTCATATCTCATCTACCTTTTCGTCGGTGTTGCCTCATTCATCGCCTTAGCTGTGGGCGCCACCAGAGGGCTTGGTTGAGTGACGATAAACGGGGATGTTTGAGAGTGGGGAATGAGGAAGAATGAGTTGCACGGTGTCTTACAGAGCATAGTGGCGTAATTGGAGATTTTGGGAACCCGAAGGGGGATTTTCCCTTGAGAGGCGCCCAGGATTTTTTGGATTTGCCAAGAAATGTATACATGATAAAATGAGAAACAAAGTGGTTATTTACTTGAACTTGAAAAAGTAATCAGTTTTCCTGATAGGAAGACATTTATAATTAAAATAGAAACATTTTGGGGTCCCCTACCCTTGAGGGCCCGGAGATGGTGAAAAATCGCTCTCATTCCCAACAACGCCACTGCTAAAGTGTTTGTAAATGAGTTAAAAACTGTTCGTTGTATGCCAAAAAAAAGAGTGAAATAGTGTGTGTTGTGATAAGTAATGGGCCATTAGTTGATTTTACTCTTAAGCTTAAAGACATTTTAGTCTGTTTCTGTTCCCCACTCTGAAAGAAAAGTAGAAGAAAAAGTATTATATTTCACTCTGTGTAATAATACAGAGAAGTGCTGGTGTCATTTTATTACCCACGTGAAACCTGACTGAATACTTTTACTAGAATGTTTAGAAATAGATTGCAAAACATTTCATATTAACAGTAAAATTGCATAAATTCAGTTTAGGAACCATTAATTGGGTTGCTGATTGTATGTATTCATTCAGTGCAGAAAGAGGAAATCTAAATTTCAAAAGGAACAGTAATTTGTAGTAAACACTCAGGCTTGCTGCATATAATACAGACAAAATATTTTTTAAGATATTCTGATGGATTTTCTAATAATACTTGCCATTATATCTGTATCCATCATTTGCATTTTGTGGGTGAATTCTTTCACCTCATTAGTGTTTTGTGTTATTTTATAGCATAATCTCTCTTTTCTGTCATTATGGTCTCATCTCCATATATTGGGTAACAATATCATTATTTATGCTGCAATTTAAGCATTACTCTAAGTTTTTGTAAGAGAAAACTAGTTGCAGATAAAATTCCAGATAAATTGTTTGGACTTTAAACTCCTGCTGTATGATCTCAAATACAATGAAATTGGCTTATCAACTTTGGTTGTTTCCTAAGGTATGTGTCATGAGTGGGTACTAATGCCCTTACATGCTGTTATCATTTACCCAAGCCTGTGAGTATGAAGTGAAGTCTGAAATAAAACAAGATAAAAATCAAAGACAAGAATTTCAGTTTCAAACCCCAAAAGCACTAAATGCACTGATGAAATGCAAACTGCACCTAGCACAGCATAATTACTTCACACCTATCAGGAAATTGTCTACTACAGTATCATCTACAATCATTTCAGTACTGCTTGCATGTTATTTTACAAGTATAAATAAGTAAGGAGTTAAAAAAATTACCCCTTAATAAATCTAAATATAACAGGCTTTGAATGGAAAACATTTTGGAATCAGAAGAATCATTTTGCTAATAAGGAATACTCAAAGATATGGTAGATAATAGTAATTGTTTATTACTTTCTTTTTGCCTTATCTATTGCTTGTGAAGCTTCTTCGTCTAATCAGAATCATTATATAACATGGTAATGCTGCACTAAATATTTCTGTATTTCTTCATTTAGGTATCTTGTTAATTAAAGTAGCATGGTCATTAATCACAATATTGTATAACACCTCTGTGGCAAGTAAGTATATCTGTACTTATGTCATTCAAATGAGCTCAAGCAATTCACATAATGTTCTTGAATACATACCAATCAGAAAAATAATTTATTCAATCACTGGCCTTATCTCTTTCATCAAAGAACACTAAGCTTCCAATACATACCCCACATCATCACAACACATGTAATTCAAGTATATTAAAAGGAGCAACATTTCACATATGACCAGTTAATGGATACTTCATATGATTATGGGATATTGTTTAATTGTTTAATTCACCTAGAAACACATCACATTATGTTGCACACTCACTGGTTGATGTTTTCTGGAATACTATGTAAACAACTTCTAGCAAAAATGCTGTTAGTGATAAACAAACAAGTACATATAACATAATTTTCAAGCTATGAACTACCTTCATGACTACATGTACAATCACAAATAATAAACTTTTCCAGTTAGTAAAATGGCCATACCTCAAGCAAGTAGAAGGTGAAAACTAATAATTTTGCATGGTTAAGAAGAGATTTCCATTCTTGACACAGTTATCAGGGTGTAACTGTAAATTTAGAAATGAAATACATTGTACAGAATGAAAATGCCTTCACAAAATGCAAATAATAAATATATGGAATGACCTGAATCACATAGTTGCTGTTAAGGAGAATTACATAGGATATTCATATGAAATATCTTTACATATGGGAAATATAATATTTCTACCTGTATACATATCTAAATAAATATTAATTATCATTACATAAAATATCTATTATAGAAAAGTCTAGGGAACAGCTACAAAATATAGATATATATGTGGCAAAAATAAAAAAAAATGATCAAAATGTCCCAGAGCAAAGAACTATGAGGAAATTAGTCAATATTCTATTTGTCTGTGAAAATATAATTGTATTTCATTTCTTATGTCAGAGGACAGACCATCTGCCTAAATCTGTGTCACTAAATATCAAATATGCAAATAAAATAACCATGAAAAGCAAGTTTAAGATGAACATATGACTTGATAAGGTTAATTCAATGATATTTTTAATGAACAAAAATCTACCAGTTACAAATTTTACTGCTTGACTTCATATTACGAGAATTCTATGAGGACCATCTAGCATACACAATTGCCAGTCCAAGTTGGGTAGTGGGCAGACAAGAGCTCAAGAGACTGCAGATAAGCCAAGAAATACAGAGCTGAGATTGCATGCATTCTCTGGTTTCTTTCCTTACCTTGTTCCTACAGTCACTATGAGGGAAAAAAATCACCAGCAGGCACACAATTCACATTCTATTTTCCACCAAAACTGCTGTATTATAATCATTGCTAGCCTTTAAAACCTTTTCACACTTAAATCAAACTAAATGAACTTCAAATTAAAAGTAATGAGGAGTACCTCAAAACCATCTAAAGTTTAAATGAAAATACCTATTGTTTATTTGAAAGTTTGATTTCAATCATCTAAATTTTATTTCAAAATAAATGAAGTGTAATATGAACCATCCAAATGCAATTTGAAAGAACCTGAAGTTCATTTTGAAACACACAAACTTTCCATATGATCACCTGATGACCAATGGAAACAACAGAATTATGCTAACATTAACCTTATAATGATAAATAAGGACAGCAATTTAAAGTATTTGAAATGTTAGGTTAAAAATACATGTTTGGCCTTAATGACTCCTGTAATACAGTTTCTCCACAAAAAATAATATCCATTATTGTAATTTTAATGGAAAAATGGGTAGAGGTTTGTCATGTTTAATTAACCACAGATTTCTGCAAGAATAAACCCATTAATCATAAAAAAAGATAAACTACTACTGACCATTCAGTATTTTCTTGTACTCCATAATTCATTCTACAAACAAAGAACAAAGGAATTAAAAACATAACAAGCATTCATAGCAGATACATCAATTGTTTTACACTCCTAGCATATGAAATAAATAGTAACTTTTCCTGGTCACTGAACTTCAAAATAACACTACTGTTTAAGCAGCTGCAAGTCTCAGGCTGAGAGCATCATCTTAAGAATATAAATAAATAAGTGCAAACAGGCATTATGGATTACCCACCCTGTTAACCACTCAGTGACAGATATGGCTATAGCTATCACAACGTAATCATGTAATACACGTATACATGTCCTAATTTGCTCAGTGACACACATCTCCCCATGCTCTTTTTATTGGCAAGCATTAACCGCAAACGTTTTCCTTGTCAAGTTAATAAGATCTATCCCTTGTGTCAGTAAATTAGAAGCTTGCGCCCTCCAAAGTATAAAAACAGAGGGCTATTCTATCTGTCAGCAGATTTCTTCCCTCTTAGCAAACAAGGGAAGAAGATTCATGCATTTTTTAGGTAAATTACAGGCCTGCTCCCCTAAATAAAAACTATTAGCCCCTGTATGGCACAAAAGATGGTTAATGAAGTTCTATATACTTCCTGAAAAAAGGTTAAAAGTCACTCCATCCCTTTAAGCCACAGATTGTCTGAAATGAGCAGTAGAACCATTTATTGAAGCATATCTTGTATCTTTATTTCAGGGACATAATATAGTATATATACCAAAACACTTGCAAATAGTCTTGAAAGGATTTAGACATCAGACAAACATTACTGTGATGCATATCTCAACACAATGATATTACACAAAAGTATTCTTATAACTGTATTTTTGGTATCTTCTCTTTGATTAATGTAAAAATGGCACAGTTCAGTTAAAATACGATGTACTATAGAAACCACAATATCTTCACATTATGAATGAAAAAATAAAAATGAATAAAAATCCAACCTCTTTAGTTTGAACTCAAACACATAGTTACTTTTTATACATAACACGTCTTCCTATAACAAAAATATTCAACTTATACTTTAACCAAACACTTAAAAAGTCAATTCATTTATCAATAATCCTTAACAAACAAAATCATATGACATGCATTTGTGCAAAGAGTTGCTCGGCAGACAGTAGAACTGTCATCTGGCTCTGTGCGCTTAGAGGAAATGCCTAGAAGTAGAGCCAAGGTAAAGAAACCTGGCTCACAGACTATGAACCAGATGCAATAGCACATACAACACACAGGAGCACTTCCAATATTTTTGCAATTCAAAATGCAAAACCATATTCATGACATTACAAGGATTGTCAGAACATGTAGCAGTGTACAGAGCTATAATATACAGGTTCTATGAAAACAATTCCTAAGTACTTTATAGCTACATTTATCTCTTTTGAATGTCATCCTAGGACCTCTTTAGTTATAGAGTGATGAGCAAATACTTGCATTTTTTTCTTGTAGTCAAGTAATATTAAAAAGATAATAATAACTGGGACATAGTTGATAAAGCTTGTCACCTCCTGAATAGGCTGACTAAATATTTATGACTAGAATTCCGAAAAAATAATAATTCTAAATATTACCTTCACTAACATGATAGTAAGAAAACAAATATATACAGATTTTATACCTTCTGGGATTATAGCATATATGTAGCTACCTCTAGCTACAAGTAAAGACTTGAACATATCTAGGAATTTCCTAATACTGCAAATTGATTAATGGCAAGTTCTATCAGTTACTCAACTGAAACTCAAAGGTGATTTCCAAAATATACAAAATAATACTGAGAGCACTGAATAACAAGGCTAAACCTGAATAATGTTTAATAATCACAAGCCTCTTCTTTATCTCCAAATACTCTCACACTTCTGTCGTCTCACTTGACACCAGTCTTACTTCTTCTGATGTCTGACTACCTTCCAGCTGATCCAAACGCCCTCTATTGACAACAGGGTTCTGCGCATACATCCAAGAAGCGTACGTGACCAATGCTATAGCAAGCACAGTCCACCAGCCAATATCAATCCCAAAGATGAGCTGTAAAGAAAGAGAAAAATAATATAACCAATGGAGAATTTATGCTTAATTCTGATAGTGTGGTTTTAAAATCCAAACAGATAATTCATGAAGAGGGAGAACCAGAGAAAAAAGGGAAACTG